GAAACCGAATGTGAGATCGATAATGATATCGGAAATGCGTTCGATAGTGAGATCGATAGTGATACCGAATGCGCGAGCGATTGAGAGATCGATTGTGTTATTGATAGTGAGATCGATAGTGAGACCGAATGTGAGATCGATCGTGAGATCGATAGTGCGTATGATAGTGAGATCGATAGTGACACCGAATGCGAGAGCGATTGTGATATCGATTGTGAGATCAATAGCGAGACCGAATGTGAGATCGATTGTGGGATCGATTGTGAGATTGATTGTGAGATCGATAGTCAGATCGATTGTGTCATCTATCGATTGAGATCGATTGTGAGATCGGTAGTGAGTTCGATAGTGAGATCAATCGAGTGCGACGTTGGTCCCTCCCCCCCCCTCACCTCCTTATCACCCGAAGGGTGGTCTATGCGGTATGTTCTCCCCCCCTCCCTCCCTGCGGGAGGGGATGCGTCAGTCCTCCTCCGCCTCCTGATCCTCGATCTCCTCCTACTCCTTGTCCTTGACATCCTCCTCCTGCTCCTGACCCTTGACGTCCTCCTCCTCCTCTCCTTCTCCTCCTCCTCCTCCTCCTCCTCCTCCACCTCCTCCTCCTCCTCCTCCTCCTCCTCCTCCTCCTCCTCCTCCTCCTCCTCCTTGGTCGCTTCTCAGGATTACCACAAGATAGCCTCCCATTCGTCACCCCAGGCTCGACCCTGGGGGAAAGAAAGAGCGGTAGTCATGGGCTTTCCACGCCTGCGCCGCGGTGGGAACGTCGGAGTCCTGGGGTCTGGGGGCTGACACCGCCTGGCCGTGCGCGGCCAGGCGGGAGCAATGGGGCTTAAACCTTGCAGTGCCAGGAGCCAGTGGGTGTCGCGAATAGCATGGTGCAGTCCTGCCGGCTGTGCGCCAGTGTATTGCACTTGGGTCACTTCGACCAAGTGGTCGTCGGAGGCTCATGGATGCGTGCCACCTGGTACTCATTGGGCCAAGGGTCTGGTGGGGGTGGCTCTGGGCACGGGCCGGGTGACACGCCTGTTTGTCGTGGGTGTTTCAACGCCCCGTTCTCATCGAGGCGGATGCGCGGGTCGGCGGGGGGGGTATTGCTATCTGAGCTGATGCTGCTGGGTGGGACATGATCGCGACCGTCGGGCCTGCTGACAACATGAACGTTCAGCCTGTCTTTGTTTTCCAGCCGCACTGAGGTACATCCTTGGTGTTGCTGTCGTCGTGGGCTGGCAACTCTGAAATTCTTCGACCGCGCAACCTTTCCTTCCACGCTATGTTTTCGCCGGCTCTCTTTAAGCACACGTCTCGGCGGTAGTCCTGGTCATGTTCAGCCATGCCTTTTCCTCAATTGTAAGTCCTCTCTGTGCACCCCCGAGTGTTTGGGTAGGGCGGTCTGGGCGCGTCGCTTGAGGCTTCCTCACCGCACATGGTCCTGCAGCTTGGGTTCTGCAGCGGCTGCAAGTTCAGAAAGAGGGCGGGTGCTTTTCGAAGTGGTGGCGCCGCACGCATTCGTGCCCAGCGTCTGCATCGATTACGCGGATGGATTCCATGCCCTTTTCACAACGGTGCTCTCGCCACAGCGCCGCGCGCATTCGCCATACAGTTCGCAGCGGCTGCACGGATGGATTGGGAGCATCTCTTCAAAATGAGGCTCTCGCCACAACACCGCGTGCATTCGTGGTAAACCTTGGCGAGATCTGCAGCTGGGCAGTGCGGTGCATGTTCAATGGCTCTCGCTTGCGCCGGTCGGCATCTTGAGAGTACTGCTGCACGGAGGAAGGGCGGTTACTTGTCAAACTGGGTACCTCGCTGCCCACCAGTAACGAACAATCAAATGGGTATCTCGCTGCCCAGATGTATCCAATAATGACTCGGATGGGCGCCGCTGGCTTTCAAAGCAGGGGTCGGACTGGGCAGCTCGTTGGACACTATGTCTCTGCCTCTTCGCACTCCTTCTAACTGAGGAGGAGGAGGTGGAGGAGGTGGAGGAGGGGGAAGGGGAGGAGGGTGCTGATAATGATGATGAAGAGAAGGAGGAGGAGAGGAGGGAGGAGGGGAGGAGGAGGAGGGTGGAGGAGGGGAAGGGGGAGGAGGGCGAGGAGGGGAAGAGCGGAATGATGGGGAGAAGGGAGGATGGGGAGGAGGGGGAGGGGAGAAGGATGAGTATGAGGATGAGGATGAGGATGAGGATGAGGAGGAGGAGGAGGAGGAGGAGGAGGGAGGAGGAGGAGGAGGAAGGGAGGAAGAAGGAGGGGAGGAGGAGGAGGAGGAGGAGGAGGAGGAGGAGGGGGGAGGAGGAGGAGGGAGGAGAGGGGAGGAGGGGGAGGAGGGGGGGGATGGGAGGGTGCGAGGCAACTCCTGCTCCAAACGGGGCTCTCGCCCGACGGGCAGGCCCGCCGGGTGCCAGTCTTTCAAGGGGGGCACCGCTTCTCGCAGTGATGACAAGCGGCCTGTGGAATCGTGTGGGGAGGGGACGCGTGACGGAAGGGTGCTGGGCAGCACCGTTGATGCATCCTCCTCCTCCTCCTCCTCCTCCTCCCCCTCCTCCTCCCCCTCCTCCTTCACCTCCTCCTTCTTCTCCTCCTCCTCCTCCTCCTCCTCCTCCTGCTCTGGCGAAGACGGCGGCGGCGAGGAGGATGCTAGATTGTCCCAGCGAGGTGGTCTGAGGCGTGAGGTGGGTGAGGGTGGGGTGGGGGGATGCGCTCGCCTTCCTGATCCGAATGCGGTGGCTCGGAGGTTAGGCTTTCTGAGAGAAAGATAACGCAGCAAGTGAAACTAGTTCCAGAACCTCCGACGCGCGGGCAAGGTTCGCAAGCGATGCGTGGTTGAAGTCAGGGCAGCGAGTCCGACGAAGATGAGCGAGGCGAGGAAGCAAGAACGAATCGCATTTCGACATTCGCAGGAGTCAATACACAAAACGAGTCAACGATGCTGTAACATGCAGACGCTAGCATGGGGGGACGCAATTGGTGTTGCATGTGTACGCCTTGGTCGGTGGGCGCAGCCAAGGAAAACAGGACGCGTGTCGAGCACCAGGCATAGCAACGACACCTTCATGGCATCATATCAAATGTCCAATCGCGCTGGTTCGCGGTTGCGCTCACCTGTACACACTCCCAGCCCCAAGGCGATGGCGGCAGACCCAGGGCAAAACCACCAGGAACGAGACACGGTGCGGAACCCAGTCAAAACGCCTACCTGCCTGATACTTGCCGTCGCTCGGACGTCCATTCCCTGTGTTTTTTTCGGTTTCGTGCGTGGTTTTTTCGCCAGATGATCAAGGATGCTCCTCGATGGCCCTCGCCGAAGGAAACATGCACACGTCCGAGCGATGCCAAGTGATAACGGACTGCCCCCTTGCTGCTTGTGCAGTGCCCTGAGGGCCTCCCGGTTCCCAATGCTACGCTTGTCTCCGAAAGGCAGCTCTGTTCCGACACCACACGACCCTCCGGGGGAAATCCCACGAGCGGCGGGTGGGGGACCTCGGGGGCGCGTTGACAGCCAGGGTCAGCGCCAATCTGACGGGGAACTGGGACACACAAATAAATAGACACAAGTAACCAGATTCCTTAGATTTTCCAATATATTCTGGGTTTTTGTCTTCCCCCCTACTTCCCATATTTTCCCATGTTTTCTGGGGAATCGACGATTCATTCTGTCCGTGTGTTTTTTTTTCCCCTGACAATCCCGGGCCAGCCAAGGCCATCTCGCGAGGAGCCCCGGCCGTCCGCAGCGCGGCTCCCAAGCGCGGGCCGGCGGAGAGAGAGGGGAGGTCTGCATGGCCGGCTCTGGGCCCCCCCCGGTCCAGACGTGTGCTTCGCACGGGGGAAGCGGGTCCCGCAGGAAGCGTGCCTTGGACCCCCGGGGGCCCTCCCCCGAGCCGAGGTCCAAACGTGTGCTCATCATGGGGGAAGCGGGTCCCGAAGGACACGCGGACCCCAGGGGCCCTCCCCCGAGCCGAGGCCTTCCTGCCGAGTCGCTCTCTGACGGTCCCGGGGCCCGTGGAGGCCCAACACGGCGTAGAGCCTCAGCACCCGTGTCCCTCAAGACCCGCTGGCGAGCGGAGAGAGGGAAGGCCTGTATGGCCGACTGCGGAGGCCCCCGCTCCACCCGTGTTCACGCTGGGCGCGAAGTCATGGGTTGCGATAGCTGGGGGAAGAGAGGTAGGTGCCCTTCTTGGACCTGAACGGCCCCCTCGGGGATGGACAGAACCCCCTTTAGCAAAACGTGGTTTACTGAAAACGAACTAGGGCCCGAACCTGGCGGGCGCAAGCCTGGAAAATGACGGCCGCGGCGCCCTCTCGAGAGCGGAACACGGACAATTCACGAATCGACGTGTCAGGGTGGGAGGTCTGTCCACCCCCGACCCTCTGGGGGCCCTCGAGGGCGCCTTTTCTGCAGCCCTCGCTGCCCCGCCACGGCGCGTCCTCCGATCACGTCTCCCCTCTGCTTCTGCCAGCCTGCCGCAGGCGGCCCCGCCCCGCCGTGCTCTCACGCCCGCCGCCTTCCGCCGAGGGGCAGGGTGCGCTGAGGGGGGCGGGCCCGTCCCGGAGCGCGCCACGCACGTGGCTCTCGAACGCTGGCCCGCCAGCTCGCTATCGCTCGGACGCCCATTCCCCGAGCAGTCTGCCGGTTTCGCTCGTGCTCTTTTTTTACAAACAGAGGACCCAGGATGCTCCTCCATGGCCCTCGCCGAGCCCGAATGCACACGCCGGAACGATGCCAAGAGAGAGAGAGAGAGAGCACCGGCTGACCCCCGCTGGCGCTGGGCTCCTTTTCGCGCGCGCCCGGCGGCGTTTCGCGACGTCGGCGGGGCTGGGGTTAAGTCGGGCGTGTCCCCCTACAGGAGAATTTTCGACGAAAAGTTAAGGGTACTCAAACAAATATTCCAACATGGTCAAAAAATACTAAAAAAAAGTCCCCAGACTATATTTTTTAATCGTATTTTTGGATATTCGTCCTGTAGAGGGACAGGCCCGACTTACGGCTGGGGCGGAGCCGTCCTGCAGCTCCTCGATGCGCGCCTGCTGCTGCAGGGCGGCCGCGCGCGACCTCCGCCGGAGGAGGGCGGCCGGCGCGGGCGGCGGCGGCGCCGCCGCAGCGGTGGGGCAGAGGCAGGGAGCGGCGGCGAGCCAAAGGGGGAAGTCTTAAGTTGGGCGTGTCCCCCTACAGGGGGATTTTCTACGAAAAATAAATCTTCCCAGTGCGACCCTGCCTAGGAGTTGGAGCATTTAGGAAAGCAAGTTGTTGCTGCTGTTGCTGTGCCTTTGCTTTGCTGCTATGCTATGCTATGCTATGCTATGCGATGCTGCGCCATGCTATGCTATGCAATGCTATGAGATGCTTTACTATGCTGCGCTATGCTGCGTTATGCTGCGCTATGCTATGATATACTAGGATACACTCGGCTGCGCTGTGTTATGCTGGGCTATGCTATTATATGCTATGCAGAGCTATGTTATGCGATGGTCTGCTGTGCTATGCTGCGCTATGCTGTGCTATGCTATGAGATGCTGCGCTAAACTATGCTGTGATAGGCTATGCTATGATATGCTATGCTGCGCTATGCTATGCTATGCTATGTTATGCTATGCTTTGCTATGCTGCGCTATGCTATGCTATGCTATACTAGGGTACGCTATGCTATGACGTGCTATGCTATGCTATGCTGCGCTGTGCTATGCTAAGCAATGCTATGCTATGCTGTGTAATGCTATGCTATGACATGCTGCGCTATGGCATGCTATGTTATGCCATGCTATGATGTGCTGTGCTATGCTAAATTGTGTTATGATATGCTATGTTATGCTATGCAGTGGTATGCTTGGCTATGCTATGCAATGCTATGCTGTGCGGATGCTGAAGTGCGCTATGCTGCGCTAAACTAAGGTTAGCTAAGCTATGCTAAGAGAAGCTAAGCTAGGCTCGGATAAGCTAAACTCAGCTAAGCTAAGCTAAGCTAGGCTAGGCTAAGCTAAGCTAAGATGGGATAAGCTAAGCTAAGCTAAGCTAAGGGGACGTAGCTGGGGGAACCGCGGGGCGGATGCCGGGGGAACCGCCCGGGGCGTGCCCCACTGCCCGGCCCTTTGAAGCAAACAGAGTAAGAACCCTTCTAGGCAGAGCCTAGGTCGGGAAAAATACGGAAACATATTCTAAAATGGTTTCAAACATACTAACAGAATCGTCCCTGGATTATTCTTGGACTATTTTTGAATATTCCACCTGTAGAGGGACAGGCTCGACTTAAGCCAAAGGGGAGAAGTCAGCGGGGGCGGGCCTTCTCGGAGGGCTCGGAAGGCCTTCGGCCTCCCGGGGAGCTTGCTCTGAGCCTGCTCCGAAGGCAAGGCGGCGGCCTCTCAGAAGGCCGGAGGCCTCCCGAGGAGCCCCGCGGCCCTCCGAGAAGGCCTGCCCCCCCCCCCCCCCCCCTTCGCCCGTTCGTCGTCCTCGCCGCCAGAAGCATGACGAGGCCCAACCCTTGCCATCGCTCGGGCGTCCGTTCCCCGTGCGCTTTTCGGTCTCGTGCGTGCTCTTCTTGGGGGGGCCAGATGGTCCAGGATGCTCCTCGAGGGTCCTCGCCGGACAAAAAATATACACACGTCCGAGCGATGCCAAGAACCTGACATTTGATGCGAGCTCCCCGCGAAAACGGGACCGTCAGAACTCCGGGCGCGTCGCACGGAGCGTCCTCCGGCCCTATAGCTCCGGCGAGTTCGTCGAGAGCCGTCCGTCCCCCCGAGAGCCGAGGAGGCCACAGGGGGGCACCCGGGCGGTGCGAAGCAGCGGCTGACGCGGAGGGGCCCCGGCCGACGGCGGGCCGACGCCTCGCGTCGCAGCTCACCCACGCGCCCTGCCTCAGCCTTAAGTCGGGCGCGTCCCTCTACAGGAGGAATATTCAACAATAGCCAAACATGCGCAGGGGACGATTCTTGCAGTACTTGAGAACAGTTCTGGCATATGTTTGGTATGTTTCATGTTTTGCCCCAAATCCCCCTGAAAGGGGCCAGCCCCGACCGAACCTCGGCGCCCCCCCCCCCGCGCCCTCCAAGGGAGGGCAGGGCCCCGCCGCCCTCCGCCAGGGGCCGATCTGCGGGGGGCGGCCCCCGGGGGGGGGGAGCGGGTCCCCGCCGGCGGCGGCGGCTTCGATTCGCGCGGGGCCTCGGGGCGCGCCAGTCGGCTGCCCCCCCCGCCGCCCTCTGCACGTGGTCCGATGTGCGGGGGCGGCGGCGCCTCCCACGGTCTGGGCCAGGGGGGGGGGGGGGGCAGCGGGGCGACGAGGCCCGCATTGGCGGCGAGCGAGGAGGGGGGAAGCGAGAAGGAGAAGGCCTCCTCAGAAGGCGGCGGGGCTTCTCAGAAGCCCTCGCGCCTCCGGAAAAGTTCTCTCCGGGGCCTTCCGAGCCTTCTGAGCGGGCGCGCCCCTTCTGACTTTCCCCCCTCGCTCGCCGCCGACCGCAGCTCGGCACGCCCCGACGGAGGCCCTCGGCCATCTCTCCAGGGGGCATGTCCTGCCACCGCTCGGGCGCCCATTGCCCGCTGCATCTGTCGGCTTCGTGCGTTTTTTTTTTTTTTTTTTTTTTTTTTTTTTTTTTTTTTTTTTTTTTTTTTTTTATTATATATATATATATATATATATATGTTTTTTTGTCTCTTTCCAGATGATCCAGGATGCTCCTCGATGGTCCTCGCCGAGACAAGAAAACGCACACGTCCGAGCGACTAAGGGGCAACATGTCCACACCTATAGGGCCTCCTGGGCCGAGCCCGCCCGGGCCGCGACCTCCGCGGCCCCGGGCCGCTCTGCGCGCGTGCCCCGCGCGGAGCGCAGCCGCGCCGCCGCGCATCCGCGGGGTCGCGCCGCCGGAGTCCAGACCGCGTGGGCGTGGATCCGGATGCGTTCGCCGCTCGTGAGGGGCGTCCGCCGCTGTTGAAGGGGCCCTGGGACACACGCAAATAAATACACACAAATACAAGGATCCCCCGTATTTTCGCATATTTTTTGGACTTTTATTTTCCCCCCCCCACTTCCCATATTTTCCCTAGTTTTCGGGGGAATCGACGATTCATTGTGTCTGTGTGCTTCTTTCCCTCCTGAGCTGTGGCTGCAGACTGCAGAGCTTTGGCGGCGCATGCAGCGGGGCAAGGGGGGGAGGGGGGGAGGCTTCCTCGCAGGAGGAGGAGGAGAAAGAGGAGGGAGGAGAGGAGAGGAGGAGGAGGATGAGGAGGAGGAGGAGGAGGGAGGGGAGGGAGGAGGGAGGAGGAGGAGAGGGGGGGGGGAGGGGAGGAGGAGGAGGAGGAAGAGGAGGGGGGGAACGGGGAGGAGGGGGAGGGGAGGGAGGAGAGAGAGGAGGAGGAGGCTTCCTCGCAGGAGGCCGCTTCTTGGAAGGCGCCCCCCCCCGCATCCAAAGAGAGGCCCCGCGCCTGCTCAGCAGCAGGGGTGCTCCTGAGGTTAGGTCGGGGCTGTGCCCCAACAGGGGGATTCTGGACGAGAAACACAAGATACCAACACACAGATGCAACAACTGTTCAAACATACTCCAACAATTGCACCCCGAGTATTTTGAAAACTATTTTTGAATACTCCTCCTGTAGAGGGGCGCGCCCGACTTGCTCCTAAGGAGCCTTCCCCCCTCCCTCCACCCCCGACACAGTCAATGGCAATGGCTGCCCCTGACGTCCTCCCCAGAGATCCGATGTCGTGTTTTTTTCAGTCCGCGGCCCCCAGAAGTCTCGACCCATTCCCCAGGACCGGAGGCTCATCCTGAACCGTTTGTTGACGGTCCCGGGGCCTGGCGAGGGCCCATGTAGGCCGAAAATCGAAGACACATCCGTCTTGATTTTTCCAATGCGTTGGATCTCTGGGTCGCTTGCTCTGGCTCTGCGCTTCGGCCTGCAGCCGCCGCCGCGGCTGCCCGCAGGCGCCGGCGGCTGCCGCCAGCCGGCGCAGCCCTCGGCGCCGGCGCCGGCAGCGCGGCTCGCGAGAGCCCTGCCGCTTACAGCCATGGCGCCTCCTCCTCCTCCTCCTCCTCCTCCTCCCTCCTCCGCCTCCTTCTCCTCCCTCCTCCGCATTCCCCTCCCCCTCCTCCTCCTCCTCCTCCTCCTCCTCCTCCTCCTCCTCCTCCTCCTCCTCCTCCTCCTCCTCCTCCTCTTTCTTCCCCTCCTCCTCCTCCTCCTCCTCCTCCTCCTCCTCCTCCTCCTCCTCCTCCTCCTCCCCCAGAGATCCGATGTCGTGATCCGCATGCCCAGAGATCCGACGTCGTGATTTGTTCAATGCGCCGTCCCCGGAAGTCTCGACCCCTTCCGCAGGACCGGTTCTTCATCCCGAGCCGTCTTTTGACGGCCCCGGGGCCCGGCGAGGGCACCTATAGAGGCCGACAAATTGGGAGAGACCTCCGTCTTGATTTCTGCAGTGCGTTTGATGCCCACGCCCTCGCGGTCTGGATCCCGGGGCGCGACCCCGCGGGTGCGCGGTCGCACGGCTGCGGCCCGCGCGGGGCATGCGCGCAAAAAAATGCCCCGCGTCCGCGGGAACGCGGCCCAGAGCGGCCCGGCCCGAGAGGACCGCGGATGCGGACATGCACCTCGCCCACGACCTCCTCCCCCTTCTAAGTTCGCCCCCCCCCCCCCCCCCCCGAAGTTCCCCACGACCTCCCCCCCCCCCGAAGTCCCCCACGACCTCCCCCCCTCCCCTGGTTGCCGTCTGGCCGAGGTTCGCGGCTCGATGCGTGCTTGGGCGTGTTCCGGCCTCTTCGGGCCTCTGGGGAGCTCCTCGCCGCCGCGGCTCGGCTCCCCCGCCGCCGCCGCCGCCTTGCATACGGATCTGCCATCCGCACCCGAATCCAAGACCCTCGACGCCATGATTTCTTCACAATGTCGACCCCCAGGGGTCTCGACCCATTCCCCTGGGATCGGCTTCTCATCCTTAGTCGTTCTTTGACGGCCCCGAGGCCCTGGCAAGGGAACCCAGGGGCCGAACATACGTAGGGAAGAACCTCCCGTCGTGATTTTCCCATGGCCCGTGCGGCTTTCTCGCCATCGCCCGGGCGCCCGCTCCCCGTGCATCTTTCGGCTCCGCACACGTCCGAGCGATACCAGTCGGGGATCTTCTGACCCAGGTCAATCCAGACCGGGGTCAGTCAGGCCTTGCAGAATCTTGCAAGCTCCTGCGCCCAAGCCCGGGTCAATGCGAAGGATCCTGCACGATGCCGCAGGATCCTGCACCCGAGCCCGGGTCAATGCGCCCCTGTCCCCGCAGGATCCTGCAAGATCCGGCGCTCTGGCTGACCCCCGTGTGCATTGACCCCCGTCCCAAGGCTCCCGAGGCGTGAGCGGCCCGTCGCCCCCGGCGGCCTCTGCAGCTCGAGCGCCTGCTCCTCCGCCTCTGCCGCCCGCCCCCCCGGCCCGTGCTCGCCGTGCGCGGGCTGCCTGGCGGGGCCGCGCGCCCGGGTCCTCATCCTCCCCCGCCGCCGCCGCCTCCTCGCCGCAGTGCAGCATCCGTGATCTGGGTGCACTGCGCTGTGTGGTGCGTTCTGTGTGCATGCGTGCGTGTGCTGTGTGCGTGTGTGCTGTGTGCGTGTGCTGTGTGCGTGCGCTGTGTGCGTGTGCTGTTTGCGCGCGCGCGCGCGTGTGTGTGTGTGTGTGTGTGTGTGTGTGTGTGTGTGTGTGTGTGTGTGTGTGTGTGTGTGTGTGTGTGTGGTGTGCGTGTGTGTGTGTGTGTGTGTGTGTGTGTTCGTGCGTGCGTGCGTGCGTGCGTGCGTGCGTGCGTGCGTGCGTGCGTGCGTGCGTGCGTGCGTGCGTGCGTGCGTGCGTGCGTGCGTGCATGCGCGCGCGTGTGTGTGTGTGTGTGTGTATGTGTGTGTGTGTATGTGTGTGTGTGTGTGTGTGCGACGTGTGTGTGTGTGTGTATTCTCTGTGTGTTGCACGTCGGGGCTCGATTTTTGGGGAATGCTGCAGGCGACAGGCTTTTTGGAGGATCGTGTGCAAAACAGGCTCGATAATGGGATGTCTCAGGGCGAGACGGCCTTGTTCTGAGAATATAGTCTGCAACCAGAGCTTGATGTTGGAATTATGTCTCAAGCGAAACTGCCACTTTCTAAGAATCGTGCTCGGCCCAAACCCTGATTTCTCATGTTTCTCCTCAGAGTTATTGTAACGTATTCTCCGCCGCGTTACGCAGAAAACCAAGGCCTGTCGACACGGCGACAAGCAAACGCGATACTTAAGCTGAGCTGAAGCCTCGGGAGCGCAACGAGGGCAGAATGTGGACACAGTGGGGCCCAATTGGAGAAGCAGACGATGGGAAGAGCGAGGAGCAGAAGGTGGAGGGAGGAGGGGAGGAGAGGAGGCTGTTTGCCCAGCATGCTCTCGAACAAGCCTCGAGACAAACTCGGGGCCCTGCAGGACTCAGCATGGCTTCTGGGCGGTATCCGCAGCTCCCTGGAAGCCCCCTCAAATGGCACCCGGACAATCTCAAATCCAAGGTGGCCAGAGACCCGCAAGGGTTCGAAACCTGTTCCCGCCGCCCCGCGACATGAACCAGGGCTGGACCTGAACGGTGTTTTTCGTTTTCGTTTTGTTTTCGTTTTTCTTTGTTTTGTCTTCAATCCGCCTTTAACGCAAAACGAATTCGAAACGATAACGGCCCACGAAATCGCCAAAACACCGTTTAGGTCCACCCCTGACATGAGCTGTCCACCAGCGTGCGCCCACCAGCCAACAGTAAGCGCACCAGCGGCGCCTGGAGGAGCGAAGCCATTGATGCGCATCGCCTTCGTCGCGCTCTCGCTTAGCACCCGCACAGTTGGGAAGGCTTTGACACAGCCCCCACGCTTATCCTGACGTCCTCCGAGTGGTCACATCGGCTCCATGGACGGCCCCTCGACGGCGCATAGCCGATCCCGAAGCGCCCCACGACGCCCACAATACGGCCCAACATGGTTTCTTGATGACTGTCCTGGGTACCCCTGGACATTCCAAGGTTCGCCGACAGGATGGCTTCCGTATCCCGAATGCCCCCAACAGGCCTTCGAGATGGCCCCGACGCGGTCGAACCAGGCCAATCACACCCAATCTTGCTCCTGTCCTAGATGGTCCGATATATCCTCTTCAGCATGTGCGCGACGTTCCAGACCCATCCACCAGGAAGCTGGACACACACACATGGCCGGATTCACGTGTGCAACTTCCGGGGCCCTCCCGCTGGACAGACATGCGAAGGCACACGCGCGGCCACAGAGAGGCCGAGCGCCGAACAGAACACCCGGCCACATGGGAGTCCGACTCTCGCCCAGACCGTCCGCGACATGCGCAGCGGCCTTCGCGGCAGATGGTCACCAGGGCCCCAAGAAAACGGAAGCTCCCCGAGGCTGCAGCCCACATGCCACCCCACCCTGCAGCCCCTTCTCAGAGGAGTCGAAGATCGCCTCGCGCAGCACACCATGCAGGATTCGTGGCTGTTCTTGCGTCACTCAGCATCGCCCTTCCATTTCGCTGTCGTCCCCTTCCACCTTTACCTTACTCCTCCCCGGCGTCGTCCTCCTCCTGCTTCTCCTCCTTCTCCTCCCCCTACCCGCATCCCCCCGATATCGCCCTCCCTTTCTCCCTCCTTCGCGGTTTCGTGTCCCTCGCCTTCCACGTCCCTCCCGCATCCGCCTGCTGCTCGCCATTGCAAGCTGCATCTGCGCGCGCTGCCCCTTCGAGGTCTTCAAAGCTCGTGCCCGCCGCAGCCCGAAGCGCACGGAGCGGCCAACGCTGCGTTCTCGCGCCGCCCTCTGGGGAAGAGCAACTCCCAGCAGGCTCCTGCCACATCGGCCTGGATGCTGATCTTGGGGGAACCAGAAGATACCGACAGCGTTACTCCCCTGGCCTCGCCTGGGGTGCATTCTGGGCAGAGCCTCAAGTAAGATGCGGCCGTGGTGACGAGGGCTCTGATCCCCGGGGAGGCTGCCTGGGGGGCCCGCAGCCAAGGAGCGCCCGCCGAAGGCACCGCCGGCGCGCCGAGGCGGCGCGGGCGTGCCGCGGACTGCTGCTGCTGCCCTTTCCCGCACCCCACTGGTTGGGGTTGATAGATTGTTAGGTAGAGCCGCTGCTTACCCTGCACACCGCAGTCGCCAGACCCCCCAGGATCCTGGGAATCCCTGAGTGTCCCGCCTCGCGTCCTCGACGAATGACGACACCATGCCGCAGTCACCAGACCTCACATGATCCCGGGAGTCCCTGAGTGTCCCGCCTCTTGGGGATACTGCAATATCATGGGATTGTGAAAGGCAGAGAATGATTGGGTTGCGAAATCAGAACAAGAGCGCAATGCCATATTCGGAAGACCGTCAGTACAAGTGGGATGATGAGTGCAACACCGCAATATCATAGACACGTCTGTTTGGAATAGAGCAGAATCGGCAATAGATCTGGAGAGGATCGAGCCGACATAAATTAACACAACCGAATCACGAGCCGTATGTTGTTACGCAATGCGCAGACCGATTGAGCTTTGTATGACCGAACCGCATTGAACGTAATACAATATGGCCAGGCAAGGTGCACTATCACATAAGTTAGGAGAGCATCGCAGAACAGCACGTAGCTGCTATAACCTATTATACCAATCCAGAGCCGAGAACTGCAAGATGTAACAAACAAGAAACGGCCAAGTTGACAACGCATCAAACGTAACAGGGGTCACGGCGTCACGCCAGCCTGCCCAGAACAAAGCAGAACGTGATAGAGTAAAGCAGAACATAACATCATTCACTATAGCATAGTTGAAGGCAGTCGAATACAGCAGCGGGAGATCAATCTCGCCCTGTCCAACGCAACATGCGAGCTGACGTAAGGTCTGCCACAGGAACAAACAGGCGCAACAACGACCGATTGGACGACAGATCACACGTGACAGGCGTCACGACGTCACGCCGCCCCGTCGAGAACAGCACAGTACAACCTATATGTTAGACGTGGATATACACACAACTGAACTCAACAAAACAGAACGCGAAAACAGCAGCGATCGATTAACGGCAGCTCATCAAGTGCGACATTCGCGCCGAGCTCAGGCTGGTCACAACAATCAGCAGTACCAGACTCGGGAACAAACGCCGAAGGTTTCGGTGTGGATCGCTCGGAGCAGAATGCTGCGTTTCTGCAGCGGGGCGGTGGTGAGGAGGGCCAGCGGCCGATGTCGGCGGCGAGCCCAGGGGGAAGTGAGAAGGGGCGGGCCTTCTCAGAATGCTCGGAAGTCCCCCGACCCTCTGAGACGTTTCCTCAGCCTTCCCCGAAGATGCAGGAAGCCTCTCAGAAGGCCCCTGCGCTTCTGAGAAACTTCGCCGCCTTCTGAGAAGGCCTTCTCCTTCTCACTTCCCCCCCTCGCTCGGCGCCGAGTTTCTGCAGCGGGGCGGTGGTGAGGAGGACCGGCAGCCGATGACAATGCTGCGCGGCTCCGGCGCCACTCGCAGGGCAGAAGCTGCCCAGCGGCGCTGGTTTTTCACGTTGACCAGACATGACGACTGCCCTGGTTGCGCTACATACAGAAAAAGCCGCCGACTTCCCTGAGATCCGACGTGGGGGAGAAAACCGCATTGTAAGAAATCGCGCCCGGAGACCTAGACCCCATCTTTCTGCGCCATTCTTCGAGCTGGATCGATGCGTGAGGGTCCCAGGGCGGGAAACTGAGCCGAACCGCCCGTTGTGGCCAAAATTGAGACGCCAGGATCTTAGGGGTTCGGCGGAAGGAGCGAACGCATCATGCCGCGGACGGGTGCAGCGGCGCTGTGTGCGCTGCTGCTCCTGCCGCCGCAGAAGCCCCCCCCCCGAGGGGGGGGCCTGGCCGTGAGCTGCTCGGCGAAGCTGCGGGCGGTGGCCTGGGACGCCTCCAGCCTCAGGGCCTCCGCTCGCGACGGGGGGCGGGGGAGGCCCCGGGCGGCGGACCGCCGCCCCCGCCCGCGTGGCCCGGAGCCCCTCGCGCGGGGAGGCAAGCAGACCACGACGGGAGGAGCTTCGCGATGTGCTCGGCCCCCGGGGGCCCTTCCCGGCCACACGCCAAGAGTGGCCCTGGGTGGGAGTGACCTTTTTGGTGCGCGGCTTCTTGGGGGGCCGCGGGGGGACCAGACACAAAGCGCGCAAGACGCCACCACCGCATCGCGTTCGGCGATGGGGGGACCCCACTTGGCCCGCACCACAGGTCACTCTGGCGAAAGGTCACTCTCACGTCCAATCGACCTTCCTGGGCCTCGGGGCCGTCAAGAAAAAAAACGACTCGGGATGAAAGTCCGGTCCTGGGGAAGGGGCCCAGACCTCTGGGGGTCGACCTCCGGGGGCGTCCCCGTGCCTTTTTCTATCTCGTGCGTGCGTGTGTGTTGTCGTTGCCCTTTGTCGTAAGACGATCCGGTGTGTTTCCCGATGGCCCTTCGACGAAGACAAAACACACACACGTCCGAGCGATGCCCGGGCCAGAGGCTGCGGACCGCCGCCCACGCCCACCCGACGGCACCTCTTCCGCACCTCTCTCTCTCTCGCTCTCTTTCCCCCCGCCCCCCCGGTGGGCCAGAGGGCCACTGCACGTCAGGGGGACGGTCCGAGGAGAGGGAGAGAGAGAGAGAGAGAGAGAGAGAGAGTGAATGGGGGCCCTGGGACGCACGAGTGAATACACACACAAATAACAGGATTCCCATATATTTTCCCATGCGTTCGGGGCTTTTGTCTTCCCCCACACTTCCCATATTCCCCATATTTTCTGGGGAATCGACGATTCATTGTGCCTGTGTGCTTTTTCCTTCCTGAGATAGAGAGAGAGAGAGAGAGAGAGCGAGTGAGACATGTCCGCTTTGGAGTTGCATGCCCGCTATGCTACACGTCCGTCGGCGGATGAAGACAGAACGGCGCAGTGGGAAGGGCGGGGAGGGAGCGGTAGGATTGTCAGACATGGCGCGATTGCACCTGGCTTGCCTTTGTCCTCCATCTCCTCTCTTCTCTCTCCTCTCTCCTCGTCCTCCTCCTCGTCCTCCTCCTCCTCCTCCTCCTCCTCCTCCTATCCTCCTCCTCCTCCTCCTCCTCCTCCTTCTCCTCCTCCTCTTCGTGGCCCTTGCGACGATCCGGGCAAACGGCTCCGACCGTAAGTCGGCGGCGAGCGAGGGGGGAAACGAGAAGGAGGAGGCCTTCTCGGAAGGCGGCGGGGCTTCTCGGAAGCCCCTCGCGCCTTCGGAGCGGCTGTCTTTGCCATTCGGGGAAGGCTCAGGAAACTTCTCAGAAGGCTGGGTGGGGGACTTCCGAGCCTTCTGAGAAGGTCCGCCCCATCTCACTTCCCCGTTGGGTTCGCCGCGAGGAGGAGAAGGCCTTCAAGCCCCTCGCGCCTCCCGAGGATTTTTCTGTGTCCTCGGGGAAGGCCGAAGCATCTTCTCAGAAGGCCGGTCGGGGAAGGCCGAGGCATCTTCTCAGAAGGCCGGGGGACTTCCGAGCCTCCTGAGAAGGCCCGCCCCGTCTGGGGCAGCACCCCGCGGAGCTGCACCTGCCGATGCCGCGCTCTCCCGCGGCTCTGCGGCGCTCCTGCTCGCAGCGCACACCGCCAGAGGCGGCGGAGAGCTTGAGAGATCCACCTTCCTCCTCCTCCTCCTCCTCCTCCTCCTCCTCCTCCTCCTTTCCCTCCTATTCCTCATGTTGCTCCTCCTCCTCCT